TTTAACTTCCTTTTATTGAGATATATTTGTGTGTGTATATGTGTTTACATGTATGTGTATGTATGTGGTGGTTCAGTGCCGTGGAGTCAGTTCCAACTCATAGTGACCCTGGTTTTGAAGCCTTTAAATCTTACAGGAGCAGAAAGCCTCATCTTTCTCCCTTGGAATAGCTGGTAGTTTGAACTGATGACCTTGAGGGTATCAACCCAACTGTTATCGCTACACTATCAGAGCTTTCTCTATATATTTGCTTTTGATTTGCTGCTGCTGTGTGCCATCAAGTTGGTTTCAACTCACAGTGACCCTGGGTAGGGTTTCTTCTGAGGCTATAAATCTTTGCAGGAGCACAAAGCTTCATCTTTCTGAGGAGCAACTGGTACATTCGAACTGTTGTCTTTGAAGTTAGCAGCCCAGCTAATAATCCACTATGCTACCAGGGATCCTTAGAAATAGGCATAGAAACATTATTGATTAAATACTTGCATTTGTAAAATGCTTTAAGCTGTTTTTCACTTACAGCATTAAGTATGGTCATTTCCCCAGGTTAGTAAATCCTTTTTGGTAACATGATGTTTAGTGACAGCTTATTTATTTGTTATTTCGCTTGACAAACATATATAACTGTTCTAAGTAACATTAAAGCACCCTGGTGGCATGGTGGGTTAAGTGCTGGACTGCTAACCTCAAGGATGACTCTTAAAACCCACCGACCACTCCTTGGGAAAAAGGTGAGGCTATTTGTTCCCATAAACATTTATAGTCTTGTAAACCCTAAGGAGCAGGTCCTCTATCCTGAAGGGTCTCTGTGAGTTGGAATTGACTATGTGGCAATGGGTGTATGACTTAACATACTTGTGCTGGGAACACAGTGAAGAGTAGGACCCAGTTTCTTTCCCTTCCTATTTAATAGGGAAGAGAGGCAGAGAAATTTGTGATAAATTATCATAGTATGACATGATATATGCTTACAATAGAAAGTTATGTGCAGGAAACTATGGGGGGTCACAGTAGGACACGATTGAGCCCACTGGAGAGATTCAGGAAACGGTGCCATTCCTGCTCCATAAAGATTTATAGTTTTGAAAATTGTAAGGAGCAGTTACTCTGTCGTATGTAGCACTGTGGGATAAAGCACTGGAACTCAAGGTTCATTTGAACCATGAGATCGGCGGTTCAAACTCACCAGCTGATCCTTGGAACCCCTATACATGATCGCTATAAGTCGGAACCGACTGGATGGTTCTTAGTAATAACAACAATAGGTTCTCTATGGGTCAGAATAAACTGTGTGGCAGTGGGTTTATGATTCAAATTCCACCTCACAGGTCTTGAATGGGCAAAGAAGCATGTGCCATGTATATGCCAAGATGGTGAAAATGCTAGCAATTTATTAACAGTTAATAATTCAAAAGAGCATTCCTAGTTTTTCCCGAAGAATATTTTTTAAATGGAAACAAAAGCTACCATTTGTCAAACATGGTGTTTGTAAAATTGCAGTCTTTCGGTAGTATGGGAGACCTTGCATATATTAAATATTTGTGATTTGGGCCATTGCTTTATTTTTAAATAATAGAAAAATCATGGAAGGGTTATGATGTTTTTGTAGTCAGCAGTAATATTACATTTTTATAGTGTAAGTGTTACAGAATGATGTTTAAGGTAGATAACCTTTATCTTTGATATTCTTAAAAGGATGGAAAACATATAAATCACAACCATGATAAAATTGGCTGTAGTCTTCCTTTCAGAACTTTCAGAATGTTAAATGACAATGATGGATTTTTCCATAAAGTGTCTTAACAAATTTTTTCATTTACGAATAATAGTTTATAATGCTCTTCTCCACTTCTCTTACCAAGAATGTTTCTGATGCCTCTTTTTTTTTAAAACTGTTTGATGTCAGTCGTTAGATACAGTCTTGGCATAAAATTATCTATTACACAAGTAAACATTCCCTTCTTGCATAGTATGTTACATTTTTTCATTTCAACAGCTTGTTCTTCGAAAATGGTGTGAATTAATTCCTGGGGCTGAGTTCCGATGTTTTGTCAAGGAAAACAAGCTTATTGGTGAGTTGGTTTTTTCCCCCCTTGAAACTAATCTTTAAAAGAAGATAGACTTTTTTTTTTTTTTTAGAAGACAGACTTTTGTTGGGAGTAAATAATTAGAGCAGGGATGTCGCTCCATTTTAACCTCATATGTTCCCTTATAACCAACCAATTGTTTGATACTGGTTTTCTGGAATGCTATGTTGATGAGGATCCTGCACAGAAAAGAGATACCAATGTAGACTGCATGGATAAAGGGGATGGTCTTTGCTGATTTATTATATACTTGCTGTCTTTTTGCAATGTTCCAAAGTATTGCTGTCAGTACATTGTTTATTTTAGGCATAAAAGATGAAGCTTTTACCTTTCTTTTTTATTATTGAGGTGTACTGTTTATTATGATTGTTGACAGTGATTCATAATAAACAGTATCAACACTAGCAACACTCATGGATGCAGCAGTCAAGAAATCAGCCGACTTGTTGCCTTAGGTAAATCTGCTGCACAAGACCTCTTTAAAGTGTTCAAGAACAAAGGTATCAGTTTGAAGACTAAGATTCAACTGACTCAAGCCATGGTATTTTCAGTAGCTTCATATGCATGTGAAAGTCAGACAGTGAATAAGGAAGACCGTAGAAGAATTGATACATTTGAGTTATAGTGTTGGCAAAGAATATTCACGTGCTAAGGAGCTCTGGTAGCGTAGTGGTTACAAATCGGGCTGCTAACCTCAGGGTCAGCTATTCAAAACTACCAGCTGTTCCACGGGAGAAAGATGAAGCTTTCTGCTCCCGTAAAGCTTTATAGCCTCTTTCCTGTACAGGGTTGCTATGAGTTGTAACCGACTCTATGGCACATAACCACCACCACGGACTTGTTAGAAGAACAAACAAATCTGTGTTGCAACAAATACAACCAGAATGCTCCTTCGAATCCAGGATGGCGAGACTCTGTCTTTCATACTTCACACATGTTATCAGGAGGGACCAGTACCTGGAGAATGACATCATGCTAGGGAAAGTGCAGGGGCAGCGATAAAGCGGAAGGCCCCCTCCCCCTCCTCCAGTGAGAGAGGTTGGCACAGTGACAGCAGCAGTTGGTTCCAGTGTAACAGTGATTATGAGAATGGCGTAGGACCAGGCAGTGTTGTAGGTAGGGTCACTGAGTCGGAACCCACTCCACACAACTAACAACAGCTGTTTATTATTCTAGCACAAAAAGTGTGTCACTTTAAAAGCCACCCATATTCTTTTCTCTCATATTATTTTGTTTGCTATGGTTTTATTCAAGTTAAATATGACAATAATTTGGTATTTTTTTTTATCTGTGCTTGTTTTCTGTGAGTATGATTTATTTCCTGTAAGAAAAGTGGAAGCCCTGAGACCATGCCCTTGAATACAATGAAATAATGAAATGAACACTCCTTCCTTTTTTTTTTTCACATTTTATTGGGGTTTGGGTAAAAGTTTACAGAGCAAATTACTAGAGCCTTGTTGTTAAGTGCTGCAAGTTGGTACAACTGGTAGGTTTGACCATTCAGCCTTGTGGTTCGCAGTCCATTGCTTATCCTATAGCACCACACCAGAAATCTTGTTGTTATGTGCCGTTGAGTCAGTTCCTACTCACTTAGCGACCTTGTATAGCGTTTCCAAGGAGCAGTTAGTAAGCTTGAACCACCAACCTTGTGGTTCAAACCAATTTTGCAGTCCAGCACATTAATCCACAGCGCCACACCAGCAGCCCAGGGGGCAAAATCATGTAAATTTCTTTGCCTTCTTTGCCGTAAGTAAACACCTTGAGGGACTGAGTCACTGGACTTAAGGGCTAATGGCCATAGTCTCGGAATGTCTAGGTCAACTAGCTTAGCATAGTCAATAAAAGCAATGTGCTTTTCTGGTGAGTAGCAACTGGGATCTTCAGAGCTTGCAAGTGGCCATATAAGATGCAACTGTTAGTCTCTTCCTGTCTGGAGCAGAGAAGGGTAAAGAAAATAAGAGTCAAGGAAATAATTAGTCCAAAGGACCATATCATAAACCACAGACTCCTCTAGCCTGAACCAGATGGTGCTTACCTACCACTTCCAACTTCTCTGTTCAGGATCATGTTGGACAGAGTGGGAGAAAATTTTAGAACAAAATACAAAATCATAAAGAAGACGAGACTTACTGATCTGATAGAGACTAATGGAACCCCTGAGACCATGCCCTTTAGACACCCTTCAAACCAGAAACTGAACCCACTCTGGAGATCACCTTTCAGCCAAACAGTAGACAAGGCTATAAAGTGAACAGTGACACCAGTGAGTAGCCTGCTTCTCAGAACAATTAACTGTATGAGACCACATTTGTCCAAAAGCAAAGTTCAGAAGGCAGGAAGGGGCCGGAAAGATCAGCAAATGAAAATGTGGAACCCAGAGTGCTGTACATTGAGGGGATTGCAATTTACGTCAAGAAACAAAATGTATATAACTTGTTGAACGGGAAACTAATTTACTCTCTTAACTTTTCACTTGAAGCACAATAAAGTCTTAAAAAAATTTTTTTTTTAGGAAATAGTTAATTTTATTATATACAAATACCATTTTTTTTACTTGATAAGTGTACTTTCTTTTTTGCTGTTGTGAATAATACTGCAATGGATGTGTGTTGAACCATACTTGCATCCCTGGTATGAATCCAGTATGGTTATGGTGGGGTTTTTAATGTTTTTGAATTCTGATGGCTAGGATTTTATTGAGAATTTTTACATATATGCTCATGAGAATAGTGGTATATGATTTTCTTTTTTAGCAATGCCTTAGCCTGGTTTTGGTATGAAGGATATGCTTGCTTCATAAAACGTCTTCAGAGGTTTTCCATCATTTTCTATGTCCTAACATAGTTTGAATAGAATTGGTGTCGGCTCTTTCCTGAATGTTTGGTAGAATTCACCAGTAATTCACTATTTTTTGTTAGGAGTTTTTTAAAATGATCTTTATCATTGTCTTCTTTCCTTATAATCTGGTCAAGTTTTCTACTCCCTTCTGTGTTAGTGTTTGTTTGTCTAATAATTTGTCCAGTTGTTCTAGATTTAAAGATTTTTCAAGTACAATTCTTCGTAAATATTCTGTTATTATCCTTTTTATTTCCATTGGATCTATTGTGACATCACCCATATCATTTAAGTTATTTGCATCTTCTGTTAGATTTGTCAGTGGTTTGTCAATTTTATTAATTCTTTTGAAAAACCAACTTCTTGTCTTGTTGATTCGGTTGTTTTTCTGTTTTCTAGTTCATTTATTTTTGCTCTAGTCTTTTGTTTTTTTTTTTCTGGTGGCTTTAGGCTTATTTTGCTGCTCATTTTTTAGTTGTTGGAGATGTCATGTTAATGTGTTGGTTTTGGTTCTTCTTTTTGGATGTGTGTGTCTCTATGGCTGTAATTGCCCTCTCAGCACTGGTTTGGTTGTGTCTCATTCTCATTTGATTCAAGGAATTTTCAAATTTGTGTTTTTATTTTGTTCTGTTACCCATTAGTTTTTCAGCAGGGTGTTACTCAATTTCCATATATTTACTTTTTTTTTTTTTAACTTGATCTTCCTATTGTTGATTTCTAACTTTATAGCCTTGTGATTTGAAAAGATTGTTTGTAGTATTTCTAAGTTTGAAAATTTATTGAGACTTGCTTTGTAATCTAACGTATGGACCATTCTAGAGAATGTTCCATGTGTCCTAGAAAATAAAGTATATTTTACTGTTGTTGGGTTAAGTGCTCTGCATAAGTCTATGAGGTCAAGTTGGTTGATTGTGTTGTTTAGTTCTGTATTTTTCTTGAATTTCCTTTAGTAATTCAGTCCATTTTCAAACATTGTGTATTAAAAACCTCCTATTATTATTATAAGGATTTCTGGTAGCATAGTGTTTATGAGTCAGGCTGCTAATCTCAAGGTCAGTAGTTTGAAACTACCAGAGTCCATGGGAGAAATATGAGGCTTTCTGCTTCCATAAAGATTTACAGCCTCGGAAACTCTATACAGGGTCACTATGAGTCAAAACTGACTTCATAGCACACCACCCCCACTATTATTATAGAGTTTTTGTTTTCTTTATATATTTTGAGGCTCTTTCTTTGAGAGCATAGATATTTATTATGGTTATGCCCCCTTTTCTATCGACTCATTAGCCATGAGATAATCTCTTATGCTGGTTTTTGCCTTAAAGTCTGTTTTGTCAGAAATTAATATTGCCACTCCTGCTCATTTCATTATAGCCATTTGCTTAATAAGGAGCTCTGGTAGTGTAGTGGATTGCAACTTGGACTGCTAGCCACAAGGTTAGCAGTTCGAAACTACTAGTTGCTCCACAGGAGAAAGATGAGGTTTTCTGCTCTGTAAAGATTTACATCCTCAGAAACCCAGTACAGGGTCGCTGTGAGTCGCAACTGACTTCACTGCACACTACCAACCAACTAACCAATTAGTTTAATATATTTTCCCATCCTTTGATTTTTAATCTGTTTTTGTCTTTGCATGTAAGGTGTGTTTCTTATAGATAGAATAGTGAAGGATCCTGTTTTCTTATCTATTCTGCTACTCTCTTATCTCTGCACTGGCACATGTAATCCATTGACGTTAAGTGTAATTATCCATAGGTATGAATTGATTGCTGTTATTTTGCTATGTGTTTTTTGGTGGTTGATTGGCCCTGCTGGTTCTTTTGTTCTACATAATTTTCTGTGCTGCGTTGATTTTGTGTGTTTTCTTGTCAATCTCTTCATTGCTGCTGTTTTAATGTATACTAAATTTTTGTGGATTTCCTTTATTTTATTTGATGTGAAGGTGTATTCCTCACCATTGGAAAGGTTCACAACTGCTTTTCCCACCTTTTGCTTTATAGTTGTCTTCATTATAAATTGATATGTTGGGTTCCTTATTTTCAGTCTTGTAGGTTTGCTGTACTCTGGCTGCTTCTATATCTGGATTGATTTCTGGGTGGTGTTTCTGTGTATGTCAATTTCAGGTTGTTTTCTACTATTGTTGGTTCTTA